ACAACACCATCCTCCTATTACAGATGAGTAGATGTCTGTCATCTGTTAAACTTGTTTGGTTATGCATCCACGTGCTTTTTTTTCTTTGCTAGGCCTTATCCAAGACCCCCAGTCAGATCCTGCAGTTCGTTTCTGTTCATCATTCTGTATAGAGTAGCATCTCTTGCTTGCATCCATGTATGCTTTTCCCTAGAGTTGCTTTTCAGTATCAATTCCATGGAGTCCAATTCAGAATGTAAATACTTGTCTGCACATTTGGGTATGAAAATGTTTGAGGCTTCAAAATATTCAGGTAACTGAAGATAGTATATGAAGAATGTGGAGGCTTGGAGTTATTCTCTGAGTAGGCAAAAGAGGTAGAGGATACCAGAGAGGCAAAATGAAATTCCCTGGGGCCAGAAATTAAAAGGAAAAGAGAACTAGGAACCCTCTGCCTCCTTACTGTTAATTGACTTCTTCAGGCTCTTGGAGGTGCAAATACTGCATGCCAATAGAGCACAAGTGAGGGAAACGTATTTTAGGGAAGTCTAGAGCACATGATGTGTGAGAAGTGGCTGAAGTAAACTGGTTTGTTCAGCTTCCAGAAGAAAAGGTGAGCAGCAGCTTGTATTGCTTTCAAACTTCCTAATGGATGGGCAGAGAGGAAATAGTAAGAGACTCTTCTTTAGGTTAAGCAGGGACAGGGAAAGAAGCAACAGCGCCAATTTGCAATACAGGAGATCTCAGTGAAAGACATTGGGAAAGAAAATTTCACCACAAGAGTGGCCAAGCCCAGAGAATTGGAGTCTCCATCTTGGGAGGTGCTAAACCTGGGCTGGAAAGGGCTTCGAGCAACCTGAGCAAATCTGTCCTACTCTGAGCAAGAGGTTGGGCCAGATGACTTTGAAAAGTCCCTTCCAACTGAAATAGTGCTGAGAATCAATAGCTCTTACTTAGTTGGTCAGTGAGATATTAGGATTGATTTGGTGCGTTACTGTTTGGGTAGGTAAAATCTAGGGAAGGAGCATGTTTAGAGATAACATTAGTTTTTATAGATTTCTTAAACTTTATTTGTCTGTGCTGTGATTTTGAGAGGCTCTATAGGCTGTCTCCTTTCTTCTCTTTTAACTTGAGGATATCTGTCTTTCCTATGTCTGCCATTAACACTATACATAAGTGCATCTGTTTGAGATGGATACCTCAAAATTGAGCCTCAGTGCACAGGAATTGTTAGAGGATTGAACTGAATGTCACTGGTGCACTCAGTGAGCACAGTAGGGTACAGGCTTCAAAAATAGTCTCGAATATCTTTCTGTATGAAGATCTTGGAGATAGAGTACACATTAGGATATTTTATGTATTCTAATTATATTCTCATGCTCAGAAAGATAAGAGAAAGAGCAAGGATAACTTTCTCTTACTAAAAGGTTAAGAAGCATATGGGAGAGTGGACAACTACACACTGCTTTCTCCAAACACACAACGTGGTGTGATGTGTAACATTTCTAAAAATGGGAGAAATGCTGAAATGTTCAGATTGACATTTCAGTGCCTGTCTAAATTCAGTGTCTGTCTGAAATATAGGGTTCAATAATCCTATTATGTGTGTCTGACACACTCCTCCTTCTTTAGCAATGTGCCTCCCATAGCTGCTATAATAAGACAGAACAGCCAAAGCCTAATATTGTATGCCTCATCCTATCATTCAGCAAAGCTATATCGTCATCAGATGCAATCTATTGTGTTCATTCCTGCTGTGTGGTATTGATTTTTCTAACCTTTCCTAATGTTAAATTTGTTTGGCTTTTTAACTTTCCTGCGAAAGGTTAATGTTATTAAGTTGAGCAGGTATCTATAAAACTATAAGCGTTATTGCCTATCTTGCCATTGTTATACTGTCCTTTCATTAAACTCTGGCTGGCGTGGATAGCTCTGTCTTGAAGATTTTTGTCATTCCAGAATAATACAGTGAAGGTTGAAAAGAACTGCATTACAATTGTCATCCAATTTCGTGGCATAAAATATTGGATTTGATATATCAGGAGCAGTAGATTTATCTGAAGCTCTTAAACCGTGAGTGAACACGAACTGCACAGACATTAATTCCAACAAGGCTGTAAAGAGGGCGCAAGTGCTGCTGCTTGTCCCCACCCCCAGTTCCATCTGGCCATACCAGTCTCTTTGACATTGTGGCAAAAGGAGCAGTTCTAAAATCTCTGCCAATTCCAGAACTGATTATCTGTTTGACGTGGAAAGAGAATGAGAAATCACAGTTTAATTTGAAGGAAGTTGTGGATTTAATGGTAACACTCTATCAACATTTTTTGATATGATGATCTACAACAGTACTTGTATAAAGCATCAAAGGTACAAGCAGTGAGTAAGCAGTTTCAGGATACCCCTCCTAAGCCACAGTACCTTCTTGGTATCAATATTGTGGGTAGGGTAATGTGCCTTTAATGAACTGTGCATTTGACATCCCATCCACATATTTAGATTGGGTTTCTGTGATGGGTGTTTGAGACCTTTTATTGTGAATATGCAGAAAAGACAGTAGCAGGTCAGAACATATGTTTTTTATGTATGGTACATCACAGCTTTCTTCTGGACTGTGGTAAATGACCTTCAGTGCTCTTCAACCGCCATGCCAATGTTATCTTGCCTTGATAGTACCTTGTAGTTGCTTTAGAATATTTTTCTTATCAAAGAACATCCTGAGAAGCTGGGCAAGAACTGAACTCAAGTGAAATGTTCTTAATAGTAGCATAAAAGAATAAATAATGAAATAATTTAAGCTGGTTTAGATCATCACTTAAAAAAAAAAAAGATAGAACTTGACACTTTTGTCTTCCCTCTGTGGAAAGCAGAATTGCAGCATACCTGCAGCTGCCAAAACCTGTCTGTTCAAGGAGATCAGTCTTGTTAGTGACTGCAGGAGTATTTCAAAGTGCTGAGGGAGAGTTGAGGTTAAATTTTTTATTTATAAATTGGTACCTATAAAATGCTTACTTCTACCAATGCTGTGAAGCCAAGGAATGGCCCTGGCAAAAGACAAAAAGCCTTCCTTCTCTACTGCCAATTTAAGAGCTGGTAACTGAGGTTGTGTCTCTTCTCCCATGCTCAGCAGTAGCTGTCCCTGCCATTGATTTACTCTTTATCTGTCGCGTTCTCATGCTGTTCAGTGGCTGTCTGAGAAAGACTGAGGAGGTTCTGTCTGTTCAAGGTTTCTCACAGCTTGGTGTCTCCTCCTACTATCAGTGCTGATATTGAGACTGTTTGAGAGCACCTCATCCTTAGTGAATGAAACATCTTTTCATTTAGAGTGGCTTTGATTAACAAATTCCCTTCAGTAGTTTTCAGATCCAACTGTGAGCTTTCTGGGTGGGCCTGAACACCCGTATACCTTTCCTTGGTTCCCTTGGTGTCTCTGGCTGGTGTTGCCAAACTCATATGTTCATTATAGGCTCCAGATGGCTTGTGTCCCTTCTTTTCCTGTCAATTACCCTTTTACCTTTCCTAGTGAAGAGATGTGACAGCTCTTCAGATTGTTTCATGCTTAGCACTGAGTCCAGGATCCAGCTACATTTTCCCTAACCCTTTTGTGGGGGCAGCAGCATCACGTCTGCAACGGAGGTCTCTGATTACCTGTGCTGTTGCAGCAATATGATTCTTCATCCAGGCAAGCCTGAAAAGATATTTAGGGCAATATCAGGTATCAGAAAGGCTATTACCTTTGACTGTGTTTCCTTTCAGAAGTTTTTGAGGAGGGAGGAGAAGGGATATAATAAAAAACCATGTCATTATCTTCTCCTCCCTTACCTCTTCTACTTCATCCAAATGCAGCCCCTTCTGCATTATGGCTTTATTTGGTTTCATATGCATTCTGACTGTGTGGGGAAACACCTCAGTGATAGTGTATGTTTTCCTATTGGAGGCTTGTTACATTGTTGCATGCAATTCACACTAATCTGGGAAGTTTTGTCTTCTGTGCCTTTATTTTCACAACTAATGTAGAGGCAACTTCAACAATTTGGTATTGGTTGTTGGTTGTGGTTTGGAGTTTTTTTGGGGGGAGGGGGTTTGTTTGGGTTTTTTTGTTTGTTGGCTTTGGTTTTGGTTTATGGGTTTTCTTTGGGTTGGGTTGGGTTTTTTGATGTAACAAAATAATGCACTTTATAAACACAGGCACGCATACAAAGATTATATAGTCTGAATGTTTTTCTCTTATCAGTTGTTATTGTGTATAGGCGAAAATTCAAATCTGTCAGGTAAGACAAAGATAAAAGGCTTTTAAGGGAACCTTGTAGTGGTATGAAAGGGAACCTCTAAATGCAGCATGTATGGTTTTTATTTTCATTTACAATGCTTTACTTGGTGTTTTGTATCCTTGAAACCTCTTTGAATAGTGACTTTATGTGGTAGAAGCACTCCACTTTTCCTTACTCAGCTTTTTTTCAGAGGCTTAGGAATTGCTTTAGTTCTTAATTAAGAAATCTGAACTCCTACTCTTCTCTACTTTAACATACTCTCATCCATAGTACCCCACTGCAAGGAAATCACTGTTGGATCACTGCAAATTAACTGCTAGAACTGCACTGGGGTCTGTAAGCTTGAACACTTTTGTATGCTTACATTTATACACATTTGAATATATGTAGCAGCACCAGAGAGAATAGTCATTTTCATGGAAGTTACTGATTACCCAGGGCTTGCTACACCAGAGCTTGCTCATGCAGCAGAGCATCATAAAACATGCTTATGCAAAGGCACAAATGTACTCAATGGGTTTTGAATATCTACTCCTTTACCCATCAAACTGCTATTTCATAGTAACTTGTTAAGCTGAGACCTATGGTCTTTGGGCTCTGTAAGGGTAATAGTCTTTTACTGAATTCTGCATCTCCATGCAGAGACTCTGAGCTATTGACTGCAGTTAATTTCACCAAAGACATCATTAGTTCTCAAAATTGAAAAATGATTGACTTTTTTTTCTCTCTCTGTTTTACTGCTTTCTTCACCAGGGATGCGAGTTAATTGAGACCATGGATCAGGACCTCACAGATTTCACCAAGTGTCTTCAGATACTCCAGAAAAAGATAGAGAAGAAGGGCCTCCAGGTAAAGACAACAAATCTTTTGTCTCTGGTTCTTAGTAATTACTCTTTCTCTCAATGTATTTAGGTTTATCTTATAAGTTTACACTGAAACGTAACTAGTTTCTGTAGCCTTGCCATTCTGCAGTTTTGCCATAATTTACTGCACACCTTGTAAGCGTTGATGCTTCTGCTAATAGGAATTACAAAGTGTGTCGATGAACAAGTGTTGGCTTTCTTAAAAGGCAGCTTACATTGATTTCTGTTAATGAACTACCCAAAGTACAGAAGAGCTGTTGTGGTTGGTGTTCAAAGAGTCCCACTTTGGCACGTAAATATATTTTCAAGACTTGACACACTAAGCATTGATGTTCATCTCCTTTCTCTCCCCATCCAAAGGTGAGATGGAGAGAGGGAATCTTATCCTGCCAATATTACATATGGTAAGCAATACCTCCTTCTGCAAACAGTTCCCCTGGAATCAAAGGGAGCCTTTGCAGAGCAAGCAGTGCACTAAACTTAAAAGGAGCCACATGGAGTTGTCAGCAGCTCATTTCATTTGAAAGGCAAGGAAGGCAACGTTCTGCCTCCTGTTCCACAGTTTAGTTTCGGAGGCCCACTTGTTTTGTCTCTCTGAGATGAAAAGTTAAAATTCCTTAGGAATTTTAATCGTGGTGGGTCAGTAGCAGATGTGCTCTTGGAATTGCTGCCCCTTCCTCCCAGTGGAACAATCATTCATAAGAGCTGACCTCTCTCTTCTGCTCTTCACCTGTGGGTAAAGAGAGGAAAGAGCTGCTGCATCCTCTTACCTAAGGTGAGGGCAAGAGACATGTAAGAAAATTAAAACAGCACAACATGGAAAAATATGCTTAAACCTCCTTTTTCCCCATTTTCACTGTGGCAGGATAAGGAAGTTGTCTGATTTTCTGAGATCACCATACTCCACCAAAGCAGCAAGGGATGGAAATGCCGATACCCCTCTCTCTTTCTTTCCTCACTCTAGGCTGATAAAAAATTAACCACTTTTTCCTTAAGCTATTTTGAAATGTCATGTTCTTCTAAAGGAAATAAATGTCCCTGGGACATTTTGGAGTGCTGTTGCATCTGCAGTTGCGTCTCAATACACACTGTTGTTCATCAGAGTTCTTTTCCCCATCAGTATAGACAGAGATGGGAAGGTTTCACCATACACTTCTCTTATCTGTTTGGCTGTGAGCCAGGAAACTCTTTGTATGATAGTTTATTTTCTTTTCCCCTATAATTTATCATCACAAGGGTTCGGAGGGGTGTCTTCCCATCCAGAATGGGAGTGATAATAAGTGCCATTGGAACAGATGTGCCTAGGATTTGTTTTGAACTTGGCAAGTAAGGTGCTTTCTTCTTAACAGAAATACCCTTAGAACAAAGGAGAACTTGAATGTTTCCTGGATTTTGTTCATTATCAAATCCCAGCTATTATTTTAGAGGGAATTTTTTTAAGCTATCACAACATGTTTTATAATGAATAATCAATGTATGGTTAAAATAAGAGCAATGGGAACATGGCAACTACAGATGTGTTTCAACAATAAGTAGTCTATTTGTAAAAGTTTGAATTCTTTGACCACTCTCATAATAAAGCCATGTTGAGTTGGCTAAAGGATACTGCATTGTAATCCTGGATGATATTTTCCAGAGAACAAGCCAGAATGTCATTGCAGTAATGCACTAAACCTAAGATTTCCATTCAGTTATATTTTCATGCCATTACATGTAAGAGATATGCTTTAAAAACAATGAATTTTTTAGACATGTAAAAAGTAACACAGAATAATTTTCTAAAACTAAGTACCATGTTCATGAAATCCTAGCTGCTTCTTGTTTACAGTGTCTATTCCATCAAACATAATAAGATGCTATCAGGTGATTAATGCACAGTAACTAGAGCATCATGCATTTCTATTTTTGGTCTTCTGCATTCTCTTATATAAGGTCATTGGCTCAGGCAGATAAAATGTGAAACTTAAACAAATGGAAGACAAAACTGTATCACAATTACAAGTTTGGTTTCCAATTTGCCCTTTGTTCAGAAACATTGAGTATAATTTGTTAGTAGGTGACTGGCGGTTCTTCAGAATGTCCTTGTAATGCAATGCGTAACTTGATGTCTGGTTTCCCAATAGCGCAGAGATTCTGAGCACTTGCAAAATACACTGTCCTCAGTTTATGGATGCAACCTCTTGGCTCCTCTGAAACTCTAGCCACTTTAAATACTTACATTTTCATTTAATTTAGGGGTTTTTATTGGTAACATTCTGCCATAAAAAATGTCAAGTGGTGAGAAAACAGCTGTCACTGAATTCTATGTTCACCTGGGAATCACATACAGCTGAGAAGAAAAGAAGGTCCAGGGTCTAAAAAGTAGAATTGGATAAAGAAGGGGTTCTTCATCTGCATATAGTTTTTTTGACCTCAAGTACAAACTTGCATGTCACAAAGTGGATTTTTTTTCCTTCTTGAAAAAATATAATAAAAGCTTTCCTTTTAACCGAGAGTATTAACTAGGTGGAATATGTCTTACTGGTTACAGGAAAAATATGTATGACACCAGTTTTTATTTTTTCCCACTCTGTCTGGCTTATCCAAAGTATTTGTCAAAGAGGAATATGACAAAGAGACACTACAAATCTGTTTTCTCATAATTTATAGTTGAAATAGCTAAACAAGGAATGTATCTCTTTAGTATCTTTAAAAAAATGATACCACAGTTATGATGTGCTTACTGCTCTTTCTGAGTAGCAGTATGTTAAGCTGGGAACTAAATTGCATTCAGAGTATGCCATGGATCCACAATCCTGTGACGTAGTTTGTCTGGATGAAATTCAACTGTGAGTAGCTGAGGTATTTGAAATGGATGTTCCTTCATTGGTTGGAGAATAAGTTATCATTGATCTGCTATACTGAATGGATAAAATTTCTACTCTGATTTATCAGTCACCTCTACAGAAGTTCTATGTCAAGGAGGTTTTTGAGATCACGTGAACATATGGGGGCAATATTTTGTTCCAAAGGAATTAAGTTTGCCTAATTTCCTTTCCATGTCTCTGCACCTTCATCACCCTCCTCCTCTTCCTTCCTGATCATCCAAATAGCTTTTGAACAAATAACTTTTGAACAGAGGAATAGAGTACTGAAAGATAATCATGTCAAGCAGTTTTCTTGGATGTCACCTGAGGGGAAGTGGAGATGAGATAGATACTCAGTATCTATCTGGAGAGAAGGCTGCAAAAAAAGTTGGTTTCGATTTTAAAGGTGTTTAGAGAGTTCAGTTTGAGAAGAGGCCTTAGAAATGTCTTTACAACAAGGAAATATGCATTTAACGTTGATGGTTAACTGAGACACAAATTTGGGAGAAAAAATGCATTAGTTCCTGAGCATCTTGTTTGATATAAACAGCAGTAATTCTGTCTTCTAGAACAATTAGCCAAATTTGTGACTGCTTTTTCTTTATTTCTTAAACAAACACTCTTAGACTAGTTTTAATACTCAGGGTTACTTATTTCTAGTTTACATTGCATATTTTTGTTGCATAGGCAAGTCATGCAGAAAGCAGCATTTGGGTCATTTCATGAAATCTAAGTCACCTAATTATATGTATTTATAATTGCATACTGCAGTGAATTTTAGAACAAAATTTTGCAAGCTAGAATCAGGCTTAATCTTCCCTATCCGCAGCCCTAATTCATTTTGTGAACTGCATTCTATTGGATGGGTGAAGCAGTGAAGTACCACCAAGAGAATCTGACTCCTGAAGTTTCTTTCCAACCTAAAGGCTGTTAGATATTTCTCTTTCTCTTTCTGCATGACTGTGAATACACATGCACACACATGTATGTGCAAGTACATATGGAAACGCACACATTGCACACATTTTCTGGCAGTGCACTATTCTGCCCTAAGTGGTGCTTTTTTAATATCTTAATAACTCTGTTTTTATTGCTGCTGTGTGTTTCTTTCACGTTGTTTATGGTCTATTAGGTGTGCACACTAATAGATTAAAGCTTTACTGCTTTAATCACTATTTAATTCATCCTGTAGTTATGTGAATACTTTCCTTTCTTCATTACAAGGCCTTCAAATAAACTTATTTCTACCTAGTACTACTTTCTGTTCTTAACTTTCTCTCACCTTAACACAAGCTATTTCAAGAAACCAACTGAACTGGCAAAATGATAAACAAGCTTACAATATCTCTTATTTAGGGATCAGCAGATCTTGCATTAGAAGAGTACACTATTATCTTTCATTTGCAGATCAGAGAGCAGAAGTACAGAAGCAACTTGTCCACAGTCTCCCAGCATGCTAGTTGTACAACTGGGGTTGATACTCCAATTCCCAATCTTCATCAAATGCTCTTTCCATAACAGCATCTCTGGTCTGACTCACAGGTAGCTTGTAGCAGCTCACACTAGTGAGACCTGGAAGTGTGTTTATGAATTTTGCAGCTCCAAGAAGAATCCTCATAATATAAAGATAGATTTAAACCTTTATCTCAGAGTTACAAACTCTGCTTTCTTTAACTGTTTCATCTAAAATACCATTTAGTCTTAAAACTAAGCTCTGGGACTTTTCATTTAACTTTATTATCTTTTCTGCTTAAAAAAAGTTAAAGCAGCTCATTTAGTTATATGGGCTGAGGATATAAAAAATGAATTTTATTGAAACCTACATGCCTTTTAGTGGTTTAATGTTAGTGTGCTTAAATTGATAAAAGTACCAGTGTCAATATGAAAAAGGGAAAATATCCAAACCAACTCTTCCTAAAAACCCTTGGCAATAAAGGCATACTATACTAACATTTCCATTTTCAAATTACACTTTAAAGGTTCAATCAGTCAGCAGTCTAGGATATTAATTCTTTTAAGTGAATGCAAACATTCTTCTCTTTGCATTTTTAAAGTATCATATCAGTCCACTTTCTTTTCTGTTGAGGGAGGCTAAACATATTAGCGCAGCCCTCTGTTTACGAAGTGCCGAAGAGAAGAC